ATTCTAGATTTAAAAACTGTTCGTACAGGAGACTAGAATAAGTTTTAAGACCCAGGACAAGAGAAATCGCTTTAGATTTCAATCTTTTTAACTAACTCCAACTTGGGTCTCTGGGCAATACACACTGGTCTTCCCACAGCTAGGGCAACACTGTGCTTGGTTATAGTACGTGTGACTATATTTACAAAGACTGAGAGGATCATTTCTCTATTGAGCATCTGCTGGCTTAAGATAAAAGGGAGTACACTTCGTTGTGCACTAATGTTCTCTTTTTTTGTTTGTTCCAAAAAAGGGGGAATAATTTTAATATGAAAGCAATGTTTTAAAGGGACCATAATGTCTTACTCAAAGAACTGCCAAAATCTAGCCTGCCGTGGCAAAGAATTCACTCTAAAGTTAAAGCAAAAGCTACCATCTCCTCACTTCCTTGAACAGTTTGAAACAAATGATGATTTACTTTTATGACCAAATTATTTCAGAAATAGTCCTCTACTGGAGATAGGTACTTGAATTCTGTTAGAACAAAGTTCCTCAAAGACAAATTTCAGTGAGCTTCCATGCTGTAAGCACCCTTTCTCTCACAACAGCTAAATCTAGAGCTTTTCCATGAGGCTGTAAAGGTTTATTGAGTAGATAATGCCCACTTTACCATGATTTTAACTACATATTCACATGACAAATAGGTGGAGACACAGAGGGGCTGAATAACAGCATTTTGTTAAGATCCTTCAAAGACATCATCCTTCTAGGGGAAAATACATTAAGACAAATAATCCCTTAGTACTTAAGTGCTTTTCATAGACATTTAAAGGTATAAAGATATTTCACAAACAAAAACTTTAAGTTAAATGAAGCTTAAAAGCAATTTCAGAGTGTATAGGATGGGTGAAGACGGGTGGCTTGCACATGCCGCATGCTTATTTTTTTCATATTATTTTTCCTTGTTAAAGTATTGAAACAACTTTCTAAAATGTTATTTCCCCTATGTGGCTAAAGCTTAACTAGACAAAAAAATATTTTCCACCTCAGTTAAAATTAAGAAAGATTTGATGAACTGAAGTATTCAGAAGGTGCTAAATGTTGATTGAACTGTGGCATTGCTAACAATCTCATACAGGAAACATAAAATGCTTGGAATTGTGGAGCTCCCTGATATAATTGTGTCATATTTGTGGCTATCACTAATTTTCCGATGCTGTTTGGGTGGAAAATTTAGCTCTCAGCATCTGCTATAAACTGTGCAGCTCTTAGAAAGACACAGTTTCATCCAGTTCCTCAAATCTCAATTTATACCTAAGTGGCTTTGTTGTGCACAATCTGAAAATATAAGCGCAGGAGTTTGTGGGCACAGTTGAAAAAGGCTGCGATAGTGTAGAGAGCATATGCACAAACACAAAAACAACCAGGGCCACCTCGCTCTGCCCAAGGGTGTTATGCATGAGCACGGGCTGCAGAAATTTATTAGCGGCAACTCGTCTTGACAGACAGTTTGCATGTCAAATTTCTTGACTGTTCTCTAAACCATGATTGTGTTGGTAGTAATCGTTGGCAACTAGTCAACTATAACAATTTCATTAATTAATGTTCCATATATGCAATATTTTGATGTAACTCCAGAGCTGATAACGAGAAGCATGTGTGATACTAAAATATTGGTTTAAGAATTCTAATGATGGTCATGATTTATTAATGTGCTTGTCTACATCTGTTAAAGGGAGCTTTCTGCATGCTTCAGTGGGAATCTCCTTGATTTGTTGAATGCGAGCTGAGGAGAAAACAGGCATGTAAGTTACTGCTGTCTTGTACGCCATCCTTGTAATGCTTTAAGGGGGCGATGATTTTGCTGCCCCAAATGGATCTGTCCTTCCCACATAACTTAATTAGTAACTAAAGCAAACACTTCTGATGTGATTTAGTTGGGGTAAAGCCAAGGCTTGTAGGTTATATATACAACAGTCGTGACACATTTACAAGGCTTATTTTTATAGTGCTCTCACTGATGTAGTGACACCAGTTTAATTTCCACAACTCCCAATTGCATGCAGAGTGAGTAAGGGTCATGACCCAGCACTATGCCAAAACTAATTACATCCCCAAATTCACTTGGCTTTCTCTTCTTTCCTCTTTTCACTATTGCAGCAAATACATAAATAAAAGCACTCACACCATAGGGATTATTTTTAAGTAACTTTGGTAGGTGATGTGACCATCACGTTGTTGCATTTTCAACCTTTGAACACACAAAAAAGAATTCATTTTTTTTTAAATTTTTTTTAATTCTTCTCCCCAAAGCTCACAGTACATAGTTGTACATTCTAGTTGTGATGTGCCTCTGGTTGTGCCATGTGAGGCACTGCCCCAGCACGGCCCAGCGAGCGGTGCCATGTCCCCACCCAGGACCCTAACTGGTAGAAACCCTGGGCTGCCAAAGTGGAGCGTGCAAACCCAACCATTCGGCCATGGGGCCAGCTCCAAGAATGCATTTTCTATATCTTTCCACAAATGGGGATACAAATTCCCATAGCAATTTCTGAAATTTACATGCAGGCCAGCATAGAAGGTAGCAGAAACCTCCCTTGGAATTCTTGGGGAGATATAAAACAAGATGTCACAAGACCTGGACGTTTTAATCCAGTAAGAACAGATGTTCTCTCACTAGTAACAACCGCATGGGTTCCTAAGTTCCATTTACAAACAAGACTATTGAATTATTTTACAAATCACTTGAAAATGCTGAATAATGTGAAAGAGTGCTCACAGCAGGAAGAATTGTATTTTTAAAGTGTGATTCAGTTGTTATTGAGGCACGTGGAACTTTCATTTCTAAAATGAATACTAGATACTTAGCTGTCTTAGAAGCCTATGTCTTGAAAATATTTCACTTTGTCAATCTGAAAATTCAAAACTTGAAGGTAATAGTTTCCGAGAAACACGAGCAATTGACCATATATTTTTGTGGCTGATATTGCAATGCACTACCCAGATCTCCCTTCAGCAATGAAAGATTTGCAGACTAGCCCTCTGCTGTCAGCTCCTTACAGAGACTGCCTCTGCTGAGGGGAGCTGCCTCACCCACAATAATGCCTCGTTACTGGGGCAGCCCACACTCAGTGACTGAATCATATAGGAGTATAAAGGGGTAGTCCCCGAGCACTCAGAATAACTGATGTTTAAGCCTTGAAACTCCTCACAGGGTCTGCTGAAGCACCCCTTAAGACTGTAGTACAAGGGGCTGGCCCGGTGGTGCAGTGGTTAAGTTCGCACGTTCCGCTTTTCAGCGGCCTGGGGTTCGTCGGTTCGGATCCCAGGTGCTGACGTGGCACCGCCTGGCATGCCATGCTGTGGTAGGCGTCCCACATAGAAAGTAGAGGAAGATGAGCACGATGTTAGCTCAGGGCCAGGCTTCCTCAGCAAAAAGAGGAGGACTGGCAGTAGTTAGCTCAGGGCTAATCTTCCTCAAAAAAAAAAAAAAAAAAAAAAGACTGTAGTACAGCTCAGCTTCTCCCTCTGAACAATCCAAACACCTAAAGAACATAAAAAGACGAGAAGAAGTTCCACTATAATAATAAGTGCAGTTATTTCTTGGTGATGGGATTATAGCTGATTAAATTTGTTCTTTACCCTTTTTATTATTTCTTTATTTTTCTATAATGTGTCTATTATTTTATACAGGAAAAAAAAGGAAAGTGCAGATGATAGATGGGTTGTTTCAGAGAATGTATGAAGTGTGAAGATCAGTTTGCCAATAGTGAACCTTAGGAAACAATATTTAAGAGGCAAATGAAAAAGAAAATGGCTCAAGACAGAGGCACTAAGAATGCTAGAAAGATAATTAAAAGAATATGTTTTCATGGAATCCAAGAGTGCCGAGGGTTTCAAGAAAGGCATTTCCATAGATGGGAGCAGTTCCAATGCAGTAGTTAAGGACAGAAGATAAATTGTTACTCACTGAGGTGTGATTAAGTGCTAAGGAAGCAAAAATAGCAAATATAAACCATGTTCCCCAAAAGTTTGTCTGTAAAGTGAATGAGAAAAATAATGGGTGGAACTAAGGTGAGAGAAAAAAGTAAGAAACACATTTTAAATATCATTATTAGATTAATTTGAACTTTTTTGTACACTAGTTAGAGTCAGAAAAATAAAAATATATTAGTATAATGAGAGGAGAAATATGGGAACTGATGGAAAAGGTCTGGGGAAATTAAGATAAGATTAGATCAAGTTTAACAGTAAAGACGTGGGCCTTGAATTAGAAGGAGGATACTGTATCTTCTGAGATTAAATGATAGACAGAATAAAAATAAATTTAAATGTAGGGGATGTGGTAAATTAAGGAAGTCCATTCCTAGTTGTCTCAACCATTCTTTCAATTTTATAAGGAAAACTATCCGGCGAGAGTGAGAGGACCAAGTCTTCACTAGGAGCTTGAGGAGAGTGGTAAAGTTTTAAATAGTTGTTGAATGGAGGGGCTGAAGAAACTTGATACTTCAAAGTATTATTGAGCAGTGTCAGGTTGCTGGCTGCTGCGATGGCCACAAGTTATTCAGGATGGCAATCTAAAGAGCTGTGGAGTCGTGTGGCTTTTTTTTTTTTTTTAAATTTGTCTATTTGTTTATTTACTTATTTATTATTTTTGTTGGACACAATCAGGAGCCTGTTTAGGGCTGAGTGTGGATTCTGTGTGTGTTTGGGGGTGTGGGAAAAGGTATATGTTAAAAGGACGAGGAAGCGAAGGACAAGGTTCTGGGACAACAGCAAGATAAACTTCGCTTTGACTGTGGTAAAAATAATGATTCTTGTGGAGGCCAATGAACCTGGAACGTGAAGAAATCAAGGAGCTTATGGTCTCTAAGAAGTCCGAGAGAGTCTTAGTGAGATTGAGCGCTCGAGAGAGATGGAAGAATTAGAGGCTGTGATTATAGAATGAGAACAGCATTTCTGAAGTGTCACAGTCCTCCATGATGATAAGTTCTAGAGTGTTGACACAGGTGTAGAAGAGAGACCAACATGAGAAGATCAAGAGACTGTGAGGCTAGGATGCTTAACAACAGAGTCATTCAGGATTGGAAGGCATGGGGTAAAGCTGGGGGAGACTTTAGGATGGATAGAACATTTAAAATACCTACTCTGATCCCTAGGATGTGGTGAGCCAAAGAACTCCTTCCATCTGTCACTATGAAGGAGTGTACCTGTGCCATCAAAGGGGAGATGGGTTTTAGGCTGAAGCAAGGAGGTTAGGGCTTGTGGTCATTTTGTGGGCTATGTGAATTTCTAGACACTTGCTACTAAATTGGAAATGAAGTAGGCCAGGCAAAAATGTTGGTTCTTCCCCATGATTCTACAGGATTCTAGGAAGAAACTAGTGCATTATGTAATAGAAACATATTGTGAAACAATCAGAAAGAGCAAATACCAAAGCTGAGGGGGAGCGTTCCTAGACTACTTGAACTCAGGTGATCTAGGAATATTTCTTTACATCCAGTATAAATTAGAGCTACATTCCCAAAAGAAATGCATACACATATGCACTAAAATACACATACTAAAATATACATAGTAGCACTGTTAGTACTGGTCAAAAACTGGAAACTATCCAATTGTCTACCCAGATTAGAGTAAGTGTATAAACTATAGTATGAACATACAATAGGGTACTATACAGTAATAAGAATGAATATTCTACATTACAGACAAGCTAAATGAATCTCATAAACCTAATGCTGGATTAAGGACGCTAGAAACAAAAGAATAAATATTCTATAACACCATTTGCATAAATTTCAAAAAACAGGAAAAACTAATCGTTGGTATTCAAGGTCAAAGTAATGGTTCTGTGATGGAGGCTGTGACAAAAAGGAGGCACAAAGAAGGTTTCTGAAGTCTGGTGATGTTCTATTACTTAATCTAGGTACTAGTTATACAGGTATGAAAACTAATATATGCCATCATCTAGGAATTGTAAACTTTTCTGAATAAATATTATATAGTATAAAGAAAATTCTGCTCTAAGCTATGACATTTAGCTTGTAGCAGAGCAACTGTTTTCCAAAACCAACTATAAAATCTGGACAAAAAACTTTTCAAATACACATAAAGATATGAAGTCACTAGAAAAGTAAGGAGGAATCTAAGGCTTGAAGAACCAAGATCTCCAAGAAAAGTAGAAGCAAGAGGCTGAAAGTTCAAGAAAAAGGCAGCAGCTAAGGTGCTGGGAAGCTCAGCAGAGCTTTCAACAATTTCAGCTGGGAAGATAAAAATTGGAGCCCAAGGCTTCATAGAGCTAGGACTTGGACGTTATTATTACAAAGAAAATGGAAACACATTGAGGTGCACCTGACATGTGGTGCCACTTTACCCTCAAATGTCTTTCCTCAGAGGCAAAAAATACAAGCAAAGCATCAGCTAAGAAACAGAAAAACTTAGCAGAGATTATGGCAGTCTTGAACATATATATTATATAATACATCAATACGTCAATATTAATTGATGCATAATTATATATATACACATACATATAAAGAGACGGAGAGAGAGACAGAGAAAGAGAGACAGAGAGAGAGAGAAGAGAGAGAGATCAAAGCCCATGAAAAGGAGGGATTCTGGACAATACTCTAGCTTTTAGTAGTGGTATTACCTGGGAGTAAGGATCAACCGGAGATGGACCAGCCTTAACAAAGACTTAAAGCCAGCTCTAAATCAGGTCAATCCCAGCCCAGATTAAGTTGATCCTCCCTTTCTGTATCACTCAGCCATGAACAAAATTAAAGCATCTTTGGAGGAAGATAATGTCAACCAAGGTGGCAAAGTGCCTTTATAATTTTTTATATACTATAGTCACTATTTCATTAATTTACCAGGTATAGCATGCAACAGGACTAAATAAGTGAAAAACAGGGAAAATGCCCTCAATATAAAAAGATCTAGATACAGGAATTCTGACATGGACTTAAAATATCTATAATTTATATCTTCAAGAAAATATGTGATAGAGTGAGGAATTGCAGCAAGATAAAGATTTATAAGAAAGAATCATATGGAAATTTTAGAACTTAAAAATATAGTAACTGAAATGAAAGACTTACGCGTGTTGAATATGAGTTTAGATATAGCTCGAGAGAATATCACTGAACTAGATGCAGATTGATAGAAAATATCCAATTTGAAGCATGTGCAGAGAGAGAGACGAGAAAGAAAATACGGAAGAGTGTAAGAAAAAAGTGGGACATGGTAAGAAGCTATAGTAGGCGTCCTAGGAGGAGAGTAGAGATAAACTGGGAGACAATCCAATATTCAAAGATTTAATGGCTAAGATCTTTAAAAACTGATTTAAAAAGATCAAGGCATATAATTAAGCAGTGCTACAAACATCAAGAAAAATAAATAAGAAGAACATCATGCCTAGGAAAATCAGAACAAAACTGTTGAACCCAAAGATAAATAGGAAAGGAAAATTGAATAGCTGGAGAAAAGATGCGCATTATCTTCAAGGAATAATTGAAGGACCAACAGTTGATTCAGTTTTCAGTAAAAATTACTGAAAACCTATGATTGTGACAAACGTGACAGTTTTAAAGTGCTCAGAGAAAAATAATAACTTACTCATAGTTCTTCACCCAGTGAAAATATTCTCCAGAAAATAAGGTAGCATGAAATCATTTTTATATATAAAAATTTTAAAAATTACTCTATTAGATTTCAAGAATTATTAGAAATCTCTAGTTAAAACATTGGCATCGGCAAAGGATAAACAAATAGACCAATGAAAGACAATAAAGAATACAGAATCAGATCGCAACCATACAGTCAGTTGATTTATGACGAAGGTGATGATACCAAGCATTGGAAAAGGATAGCCTTTTAAATAAATGGAGCTAGGTCAACAGGAGACCAGTACAGAAAAAAATATTTCTTGATCCACCCTCACACCTTACACAAAGATTAATTCCAAGTGGATTGTAAAACAATAAAGCTCCTAGAAGGTAATGTAAGTGAATATTTTCAAGACTTGGGCTAGGCAAAGATTATTTGTATGTGGAAAAAAGAACATTAGTCATAGAAGAATGATAATTTGTATATATTAAAAAGAAAAATTGTTTGTTCATTCAAAGACACCATTCAGAGAGTGAAAAAACAATCCATAAAGTAAGCACAATATTTGTGTTACAAGTATCTCCTTATGTGATAAATAAAACAAGAGCTTATGTAAGAAATCTTACTAATCAGTAGGAAATCCAATAGAAAGGGACAAATACTTGAACAGGCATTTCAAAAACAGAATAACCAAATCTCACAAACATACACACACACTACACACGTATGTAGATCTATTATTCATTACGAGAAGATGAAAGTAAAATCATATTGAATTATACATCACATACCACCCAAAATAGCTAAAATTTAAAAAGACTGTTAATATTCAATACCAAGATTTTCTGAGGATGGGAGCACATAGAACTCACATACACCGCTATATTGATGGGGCTATTAATTGTTACCGTCCCTTTGAAAAGCTGTCTGGTGGTATTGACCAAAACTGAACATATCCACATCTTTTGTCCAGATTACACTCCCCTAAAGGCAGACTTTAAGACAACAATTTTATTGCAAGAAGTTTAGTTGTAGGAAATATCTGTAGAAGCATGGAGACGTGAGAGAAGGTAGGAAAGGAAGCCAAAACAGAGCGTGTGTATTATCAAACAAATATCAGCGTGGGCAACTGGAGTTTACTCTTGCTGGGAAACTCTGGGAGACAGTGTAGAAGATGGATCCAGATTAGTCAGTCATTGTTTAAGGGCTGCTACCAGAGGGGTTAATCCCCTGACTTCTGGGCTGTTGTGTGGGTGTGACTGTGTGCATATGGGTGTGTGTGTATGTTTACGGAGCAGGGTGTTGAAACAACTCTAATGGCCAGAGAAAGCCCTCTTGCAAAGGACAGAAATAGTGAGAACCAAGTGGTTATGGGTGGAACACCAAGACCTTCGGCTCTACCCTATAACCCAGATAATCTATTTTTAGGTATATATCTAACAAAAATGCAAACATACGTGCACTAAAAGAAATGCACACTTAGTCTATTTAGAGTAGCAGTATTTTAATAACCTCAAACTCAGAAAAAACAGTTTAACAAATATAAATCATAAACCACTTAAGAATTAATAGTAACATTGATTTCACATTCCTTCAGGAGAAATTCTGATTTTTGTTGAAAGTTCATGCTGCACACTTTAATTAGATTTTTCAGCAATTCTGTGGTAGAGTACCAGAGGATTCAGCACCTCTGTCTGTGATGCGATGAGAATACTCTGGAGAAATGACTAGGACATGCCAAATGTTAAATCTTCATTATCATATGCTCTCTTTTAGAAGTTCCTAGCTTCAACTCTATTTTTATATTTCGTTTAACAGTTCCTTGGTTCTGAGCAATTGGGTGGTTTTTGTGAAATCCATCTCATTATGAAACTAAAAGAAAATATCTTTGTTTCTTTTGATCTGTTAAGTTCTTAGGAATCCTTTATGCAACTAACACTTTCCACATACTCTTTTTAAACATGTGAAACCTTTCTCCAGATTCTGATCTCTAGGCAGTTATGGCTGCACTTCTATATGTTTTTACGGAAATATAATATATGTTTTGTCCACTGTCTTGTAAAAGGACATGCCCTTCATTATTCTCCTGAGAGCAACTCTAGACGGGATAAGCAGAGTTATCTGGGCTCGAATATAAATGGAGACAGAGCTTAAGTATTTTTAGAAATGTAGTCAAAGCCAATAGGAGCTGCTTTAGAAATGCAAATGAGAATCTGAGAATCGCATTGCCAGGAGGCAGATGTTGTAAGAAAAAAAGTATGGGTATGTAAGATGTTACCCTGCCAGAGGTTACATTTGTGATTTTTCTCTTTTCTGAGAGAGGGCTAACAGAAAATCTCTTTAGAACTAGTAAGAATATCCTTTCATCACACTCTCCAACTCCTTAAGTTTATAGAGAGGTTCAAAATGTTACACATATAACTGTCAATCATCCTACAATCAAGTATAGATCTCCATATTTTTTTCCAGAACAGAGTACAATAAGGA